TAAGCAAACTCTGAGAGCCAGTTCTTCATGAGCTCCTTCTGCTCCTAGCTCTTCTCATGCTCCACCTTCTCCGGCACCGGCTGCAAACGATGATCTCGAACTTGAGCAGCTCATGCAAGATATTTATGAGGAAGTTCCTGACGACGATCCTCTAGCACCGGAATCGGTACAATATGAGGAAAAATGCCTCCATATTATAGATCATTCATGGAGACATTTGATCTGCGTTTTGCTTCCATAGAGTCTCAACTTACTGAATTTCAAAGGGAAATGTGTGATCGTATGGATGCTCTCACTCTTGAGATGCGAGCACACTTTCCTCCTCCTCCCGATCCTCCAATGGAGTAGACTCTACCTTACTTTGATTTTGTTTGGATTGAATTTAGAACTCATCGTTAAAACATTTTGAATGTTGTTGGATTGTTTTACTTTGGTTGTTGGATGTTTGAATTTGTTTAATGTTTTTATGGATGTTTGAACTTGTATATTTTATGTGAACTTTCATTTTGAACTTAAATGTTTATTACTTTTGCATCTTAGTTGCATTATGACCAAATTTTACCATTTCACATTTTTTATATGAATATTGATGAAACTAATGGCTAATCTTTCTCTTGATTGTGATCTTAGCAGCTTAAACTATAAATATCAACTGGCTATATTTCAAAACTTTTTCTTTCCAATACTTTTAATCGAGTCTTTTTGATTCAACGAAAAGGGGGGAGAAGATGTATTATCATAGTAAGGGGGAGTAATTTCAAATTTGATTTCAAAAATGATTTTCTTAAAAATCTTAAAATTACTCAAATGTTTTGTTATGTCAAAAAAGGGGGAGATTGTTGAAAACATTTTGATGTTTCGATATAACAAATTAAGTTAAATGAATTTTAAGATTTTACAAATGATTTTCTAAGTATATTCGATTTAATTACTCGAATATCAAAATATTACTCCAAGTCTTTCAAGATCAATTTCAATCCTTACTAATGTGTAAAATTGTGTTTTATACTTAAAATATTTTTGAAACAATTTTCACAAAGTATTTCGAACCAAAAACGAGCCTAAAATCAATTTTTCAGGTAAGTGTACCGATGCATAAATCAATGCATTGATGCACCCTTGTTTTAATTGAACATTAAATAGCTTTTGTGTATTGATGAACATACCATGCATCGATGCACTCCATGTATTATTAAAACATCGAATTGATTTTATGCACCGATGCACAAGCCATGCATCGATGCACACAGGCTTTTTCAAAACATCAAAGCATATTTATGCATCGATGCACCCTCAGTGTACCGATGCACTAAATCTTTCAACGGTCGAAATATTTGAATTTTACACATAGTGTATCGATGCACTAGCCCTATGCATCGATGCACCAGACGCTCCCACTATTTTATTAATTGTTTTCACACTTAAATGACCCTATTAACTCCACTAATGATCCCCCAACGTTCAGAAATTATCCAAAGAATATTTAAACAAGCTTAGAAGCCATTAATCAAGAACAAGAAACACAATCAACAAGAATCAAGAGAGAATCAAAGAGAAAGCATCAAACTCATTGTTTGAGCACTTCAAGCCTATTTTTCATTCAATATTCATTTTGGTTTCAAGAACACTACTTGTACTCAATTGTATTCATTCTTGAGTGTTCTTTCTTTGTTCTAGAATTGTGCAAACAATCTACCTTGTGAGGTTTTCCTTGTAAGTTTGCAAATTTGTGTATTTCTCTTTAAAAAGAGTGTGCTCAAGAATTTGGGGTATAATTCTTGAGGGAGTTGTAAGGTTACTCTTTGTCCTTAAAGAAAGAACAAATTAGTGAATTTGTTGGAGAATCCTTAGTGTGGATAGCTAAGGTAGTAGACTTAGACTTTGGTTGAGAAAGTCGAGCCACTCTAAATCGTTGTGCAAATTACTTTCAATTTTCTGTAAAAGCTTCCACCAAAATTTTTATTGCCAATTCACCCCCTCTTGGCCAATTTCATCGATCGATTAACTCAACATACCCTTAAAAAGAAGTTTGAGATTCGAATTATGATATTTACTAATTGTGTCCACCTTTATGCATGCGTATAAATGTCATGTAAGACATCCTTCATACAAATAGAATGATTAATAATTAAAGTGTTATGGTTCAATAGGATGATTAATAATTAAAGTGTTATGTTTTTTTTAAAGAGGGTTCTTTGTATTAATAAATGCAAAGTACACCACCTCAAGGCCCTCATTAAAAAACCTCTCTAATCCTAGTTGGAGGAAAAAGAGTGAACCCAGAGGTGGAAGAGAAACAATACAAGGATGCCACAGTGCCACAAACATTACATACCCCAACCCACAACAGAACTCACACCAACATCCATACATACCAAATAGCAGGATGAATTATAAATAGAAACTCCATCAGAAACAAAAATCAGGTGAACACAGTAAGGACAATCAGAAAACAGAGGCTGGAAACATAATCGCCAAAAACTGTTGATCACTGCAAAACACCATGACTTCCTCAATCATCAACCCAACACGCATTAAAACATAAACAATCTTTTAGGAGCCATAGATCCTAAATTCAGTGAAAAATCTCCTAGAACACAACCTTAATCTTTGCGCAATCCCCAATAATCACACGCCAAACTTTGACTTAATGACAATAATGCTCCTTAGCAATAAAGAAAGCCACCTTCTCTTAAAATCCGAATCTGATAGAGATCTACCAAATGGTTAAGAGGAATTTAGATAAGATTTCAGCAAGTTAAATCTCTTCAACGCATGATCTCTTTTTTAATTTCTCAGCTTTCGACAATACTTTGTCCTTAATATCCAATAATGAACCAAATTTCTGTTGCTTCCTATTCATCTTATTGGTCAGCACCTTTTCATTAGAAAGAACATAAATATTCATTACAGGAGACTTGGACAAAGACCCCTCTTCCACTGTTTTAAAAAATAACAACTTTGAACTCGAACAATCCAAAGGCCTAATACCGTTGGAAGATGGCTTAGGCTGACAATGATTGGCATCTCTATTAGAAACTGAAACCCCAATGCTCTCTTCAATGTCTTTTACCGAAAGTCTAACACTAGGCACAATGGGTAATTCGAACACATTGCTTTGTAAAGCCACACGCCAATCCAACTTTGTACCCATGAGCTCCCCATTATCTATCTCTAATGCATTATAATAATAACCACTCCATTAACAAATAACTGCATGCTCCACTACACCATAACGTGATGTTTGTGAAACAAAATCCAAGCTGTCCATACTAGCTTCAACGCCTTTTTTCGATAACCCATCAAAAGTCACACTCTGTTGTGCAACATGCTCCTTAATATTATTCCTATTCATAGGCGTAATTGGACCATCAACCGAATTATCCTTAAGACCAGCTTCCAATTCCACTACAGGACCCACTTTCTTCATATTAAAAACCTCCACCGCATTGGCATTGCCACTTCTCTGACATAAATTAGCATGCACAACCTTGTTCATAATCACATCCTTGTTCTTAATTCTATCAGAAGGCGCACTTGGACGCTCAACCGCATTAACATCGAGACCAGCTTCTAATTCCACTACATGACCCACTTGCGGCTTATTAAAAACCTCTACCGCATTAGAATTGCCACTCCTCTAACATAATCATCAAACGCAACCTTGTTCTTAGGCGACATCGCCACCTCTACCGCTTTACCATCGACACCAGCACACAATTCCACTAAAGCATACACGTGAGCCAAAGTAGCTTCCTCCAAAGCAAAAGAAGTGCTACTCTTCTGATTCAAATCAACAAGCACAACTGCCCCATTATGAGCTACCTGGGAATCTGATTCATTCGCCCATTCCTCTTCAAAACAAGGACCTACATTTGCTTTCACATGAGAAGTCAATCCGCCACAACCCTCCAGCTCGTGAAGTTTTTCTGATGAGATATAATCGATCTCCCCCACCAAGGGATCCGGGTAAGCAACTTCCTCTTCTAACATCAATGAATCTTCCTAGACAGATTCTGGGTTGAAACAAGGTTCAAATTCTGAAACATATACAGTAAAAGACCTATCCCCGACTATCAATTCAACATTATCTTCCACTCGAGCTTGATTGTTCGTAATAACCTGAAACAAAGCCCTATCAAACGAACCAGGATTTAAAGTACCTTCCTCAATAGAGATGAGCTCACCCCATTTTCCTGCAATGTTTCTGAAAGTTGAAAGACTCCATACAAATGGTGGGATCCCTCTACACAATAACCATGCCCGTCGGCTTCTGCATTGAAAATTTTCCGACCACACTTCCACTTTGTCAAAGAAGGAATGCAACGCCTCAATCTGATTATTAAGGGTAAAATTCATACTCTCTTCATCTTAAAAAATGATTGAAATTGCTAATCTGCTTAATCTCATAATTCTCAGACTTAAAATGCCTTCCTTGTGCATGATATCAGCCAACTCCTTCATTTTGATAAATTTCTTGTACTAACCAACCAAACTATCTCTAAGAGTTAATAGCTTATCCTCGTCAATAACACCAACAATGGGCACCTAATAAAGATTAACATCCTCCACTTTACTCTTGGCCACAGTTGGTTTTGAAGTAGAAAACTTCTTTCTCCAGAAAGCTTCACGAGGTTGAAATCTCGCCATAAAAACTCTAACTTTGTTGCCATAAATCCTAGATCTGTCAGCACAGAAGATAGCCTTCCTCGCATCCTCCAATCCAGAAAAACGAACAAAACCAAACTTGCTTCCTCCCTTGCTTCTTTTGTTAGGGATAAAGGAATCAACCACCTCGTCATACTTATCAAAAATTAGCCAAAAGCCCTAATGATGAAGAAACTCTGAAATGTTAAAGATGATAACCGTGACGTAATTTTTTCGATCAGAGCCTCTAGCCTTACTCGTCATATCTTTAATAATACAAGTGTTATGGTTCAACAGAATTTTCTTTTTCGAACAGCGGTGATCCTACGTTGTACAAGCCATACAGGAAGAAGATGGGTGATAGGTCTAAAATGTTGATTTCAGGAGATGAATTGATGAGCTACTTCAACAATTCAGTAAATTTGTGTTTGTTTTCGATGCCAGAGCTCGACCGTGCCATTCGGAGGTTGCACCATGTCGTCGGGAATGCCGAAGTCGATGATGATCGATTCATCATCGTCGAAAATGGCTCAACACATATATTCCATGCTGTGCTCTACGCCCTCTCGTCCCCTGATCGGCCCAAACCAATTAGCGTGGTCGCTGTCGCTGTCGCCCCTTTCTACTTAATGAGCCTCTCAAGAGATAGTGGTTTCCTAAATTTTCAAAATCTCGTATAATATGAGACTGAGAGCATAATGACCTTTTATTGCAGTCGTATCCAATGGAGACAGAGTTCCTCCGATCAAGGCTATATAAATGGTCGGGAGACGCGAATCGCTTTGATGAAGACGAAGCTTACATCGAGGTGGTGACTTCGCCGAACAACCCCGACGGCTCAATTCGAGGAACCATGGTGAACCGTGAAGGTGGTAAATCTATTCATGACCTAGCCTACTATTGGCCTTAGTACACGCCCATAACACGTAAAGCTGATCATGATGTTATGCTTTTCACTTTCTCCAAAGACACCGGCCATGCCGGTTCTCGGATTGTGTAAAAAATTTCTGCCATGAATCACATTGGACCTACTTTAGTTAAGTCTAAGTCGAAATTTTCTTCATTTACAATACTCAAACTCGAACTCGAAACCTTATTTATGTAGTTGGGCTATCGTTAAGGATAAAGCAATCGCCTCCAAGATGGTGACATTCATAGAGGTGAGCAGCATTGGTGTATCTAAAGAATCCCAGCTTCGTGCCGCCACTATTCTCGGAGTCATCGCTGATGACTGCCAGAACCTTGAGCTTGAAGAAGTAAACTTCTTTGAACACGGGAGGCGCCTCATGTCCGACAGATGGGAAAGGCTCCGAGAAGTGGTGATAAAAAGCAACGGAGCTAAAGTCATGTGATCCGACTATTAGTGGGTTCACATCCCAATGCTTATATTGAAGTTAAAGTCAAAGTTAAGTGCTACAATCGAAACGTTTTAAAGTTCAATGATGAAATCAATACATGTCCTAAATATTAGTTTTTATTCAGAGTAATTTGCCCTAATAACAATTTTTTTTTAAAAATCAAATCATACAATAACACTCTTTTATCATGCTTGATATGGGCAGCGGATATATGCACACAGCTGGCTTCAAATTGAAAGAGATATATACATCAAAGCCAGAGGTGTCCAAATTAGTTTAAACTAAACTTTAAAATTGAGAGGGCAATAAAAAAGAAAGAAAGAGTAATATCCTACATTTAGGTGTGGTGGTAATTTTTTTTACTTAAATATAGACATGTTTTAATTAAACGAGTGGATGTAATTTCTAGATTCTCTGTCCCATTTAGTACATTGGTCCCTACTCCCTATGGACTTATTATTAATTAAAAGGCACATGTTTCGTATGAACTCTCATATTTTGGACCACCACCTTGACTATAAAAAGGAGTATTAGGTAACACCATGGATTCATATCTACTCTACGCTACAAGAACTGAACTAGTCATAGGAAATGGAGTGCAGGAAGTTTGCTTTGCTTTCGCTTGCAGTGGCAATGGTGCTATTGGCTGCAATGGCTCCGACGGTGACGGCCGCTCGTTACAGGGTTACGCCTTTCTCCGCCATAGCCGGAGCCAACATCCGGAACCCTTTCGCCGGTATTTTCTCGATGAAGAAATCAGCTGAAAAATGTGTGCCCTCGGGGAAGACTGCTCTCCCACTATTGAATGCTGCAGTGGCCTATGTGTTAATCTTCAGATTTATCCTCCTAGGTATATCTGCGTCGGTGAGGCCATGAAATGATGTTGAGTAACCGGACCAACCGAGCCAGCTAAATAGATGGTTTATTCGTGTACTTGTTGGCATTTTTTACTTCCTTTTGTTGCAAAATAATGCACCCTCTTACGTGGGAAAGGGGTTATGTATTGTAGTAATATCGTGTTACTATTCTAAATAAAATGTCTATTTAGCGGCGTTGGGAAAATCTACGAATTTGTTCCTAGGGTGAATTACGAGTTTAATATCTAAACTATTAATTTTAGTCTGTCTTAGTGTCTAAACTTTCATTTTTTTTTAAAAATCTAACGTTAAATTTTGAATGGGTGTTAAAATGAAACAAAAAGTAAATTTCATATATGGTTTTAAAAAAAATAAAAGTTTAGGTACTAAAACAGACCAAAACTAATAGTTTTGGTACAAAATGCACTATGTTTTTAATGGTGAATACTAAAATGAAAAAAAAACTAAATATTAGATATGGTTTTGAAAATTTTGAAAATGTGAGTACTAAAATGGATCAAAATTAATAATTAAGAATTAAATACATAGTTTACCTTGTTTCTACTTCCATAAATAATCTGTTTGAGCTTTTGATGTGAATTCCGTCTCGATTTTTTACAATAAAATAATCATGCTTTGGGAATATTAAGCATTATTATTTATTTCATGTTCAAGATATTGGAACTGTTCAACAGGGAACTTTACATATGATCTGTATCAGATTACTGGGGGGTTTAATACCTTCATTTGCCACTATAAAAGAAAACTCTCACTTTAGCCTCTATTTATCAAAGTGATAACAAAATAAAATTGAATTTGAGTTGAATTTTCAAAGTATTAGATCGGATTATATTCGGACTTAGGATAAAAAATATTCGATATGTGTAGACATTATATTTTGTTCGAGTCTCAAATTTTTTATTTTATTTTTAATTTTAATTTTATTTACTTTCTTCGTTGCTAATTATTTATATTAAGCTTAAGGGTCACATTTGCTCTCGTAATAGACTCAATTTATCATTTTCGCCCATGTCGTATTTTTGCATCAATTTAGCCCTCAAAGTTGTTTAATTTCATCATTATATATCTATCCCTAACTTAAACCCTAAGTCAATGTTTAGAGTTTATGATTTATGATTTATAGGTTTATGGGTTATGGCTTGGGGTTTAGAGTTTTAAGTTAGGAGCAGGGTGTAGAATGATGCAATTGAGTAACTTCGAAGGGTTAAATTGACGCGAAAATACGATAGAGATGAAAGAGATTAATTAGATACGCTACGAGGGCAAAAGTTGCCATTTTGTCTTTATATTTACTGATGTTTTTATTTTTCGTTTTATTAGTTCATTATGTATATAATAATTAAATATTTGTATTAGGTGTTAATAGTATATATTATTTGTTTGGAAAGTTAATTATTATATATATATATATATATATATATATATTAATTATGATTATATTGAAATATGTACATAATATAAAATTAAGAGTGAACTTCCACAACAAAATTTTAAGGGGGAGGGAATACTCCAAAGAAATTTATATGGTAAACTATATCATTGACCACCTAGTTATTTAGTCCTTTTATTTTTACCATCAATCTTTTAATTTTGTCAATCAACCCACTTAACCATTTAATTGTATTCAATCAAGCCTTATCAAGAAGGCCTTCATACCTCCAGATACTTCTCCATATCAGTGAAGGGTTTTAGTCAAGGGGAGATTTGAGGAATGCTATTCTTCAAAAGTACTTAGAACAAAGCAACCTACGCTAGCCCGGAGGGCAATGTTGAATTTGATTAAGTCTCTAAAGCCCATTCCTCCTCCTTTTTTCAGTTTATAGAGCTCGTTCCAAGTGCCAAGTAAAATTTAGGATATTTTGTAGAGCGCAAGGCTCTTAACCTTGTGGTCGTGAGATCGAGTCCCACTGAGGGCAATTCATAACAGAAGCCTTCCACGGAAGCTGCCATCAACCTGGCGTTGAGGGCAGCCTACTATCCTACCTTCCCCTTATCTCATTACATGTGGGAATAGGGTCAGCTAATTATTTTAATTTAGGATATTTTAGGTAAAATTTGTATATATTTTATTTATGTTCTCGTTTTATTTAATCATTATTGTAATTATATCGGGTAAACCACTCCCAATCATTTAATTTTGTCAACCAGACCACTTAATTATTTAATTGTATTTAATCAAGCCTTATCAAAAAGGTCTTCAGAGCTCCAGATACTTCTCCATATCAGTGAAGGGTATGAGTCGAGGGGAGATTTGAGGAATGTTATGCTTCGAAAGTACTTAGAACGAAGCAACCTGCGCCAGCCCGGAGGGCAATGTTGAATTTGCCGAAGTCTCTAAAGCCCATTCCTCCTTCTTTCAGTTTACAGAGCTCGTTCCAAGTGCATGAGTAAAATTTGGGATATTTTTAATTTAGGATATTTTAGGTAAAATTTGTATATATTTTATTTATGTTTTCGTTTTATTTAATCATTATTGTAATTATATGTATATATATATTTCGTTTTTGGTTCATTATCACATAATGTGAAACTTCGAGCAGAAGCAACCAAAATGTTGATACTAAATAATAGAAATTAAAGAGAGTAAATAAAGAAGTAAAAAGTTTACTCTTATTTTATTTTATAACAATGAGTATATAATTTTTAATCGATTAATTCGAATCAAATATTAATTTTAAATACAAACATATTTGCTATTATTGTACAATATTCAGTTTTATTATAATAATTGATTCCGTTATCAAATGTTATTTTTTTATCTAATTACAGTTAACCTCGCTGTTATTTTTAACGTACTGACCGAACCGATTGATGTTATGTTGTTTCATTGTAACCAAATCCTTTAGCTCTCCCATTTCATCTTCACCTACATATTTGTGTGTGTATGCGTCCATACTCCATTCCACAAAGGCACAAACCCTAAACTTGTTTTTTTCAGAAAGAGATTAAAAATTTCCTTGTAACTCGAGCAAGTCGGAGCTTAATCAAGACAGCGAAAGATCCTAAAGTTATTTGCATAAAAAATTGAGTTTTAATCTCTTTTGGCGGAAGCTAAGATGGTGTTCGGTGTTGAAACGGCGGTTCCGACAAAAGAATCAGAAGTGTCCACAGCCACAAGGACACCTATTACTCTCTCCTCGGACGCTGTCGTGCTCGGTAAGCCCAACGCCTCTACTAATTCCGTTTATAACATTGCATGCATTTTTCTTTTTTCTCCTCAGACCCATGTTCGACCCTTAAAAAGAAGTTTGAGATTCGAATTATGATATTTGCAAATTGTGTCGACCTTTATGCATGCATATAAATGCCATGTAAGACATCCTTCATACAAATAGGATGATTAATAATTAAAGTGTTATGGTTCATACAAATATGATGATTAATAATTAAAGTGTTATGGTTCAATAGAATTTTCTTTTTTCAAACAGCGGTGATCCTAAGTTGTACGAGCCATACTGGAAGAAGATGGGTGATAGGTCTAAAATGGTGATTTCAGGAGATGAATTGACGAGCTACTTCAGCAATTCAGTAAATTTGTGTTGGTTTTCGATGCCGGAGCTCGACCGTGCCATTCAGAGGCTGCACCATGTCATCGGGAACGCCGTAGTCGATGATGATCGATTCATCATCGTCGGAAATGGCTCGACACAGATCTTCCATGCAGTGCTCTATGCCCTCTCGTCCCCTGATCGGCCCGAACCGATTAGCGTGGTCGCTGGCACCCCTTTCTACTCGGTGAGCCTCTCACACGATAGCGGTTTCCTAAATTTTCAAATTCTCGTATAATTGGAGAATGAGAACATAATTACCTTCTATTGCAGTCGTATCCAATGGAGACGGAGTTCCTCCGATCGAGGCTATGTAAATGGTCGGGAGACGCGAACCGCTTCGATGAAGACGAAGCTTACATCGAGGTGGTGACTTCGCCGAACAACCCAGACGGATCGATTCGAGGAACCGTTGTGAACCGTGAAGGTGGTAAATCTATTCATGACCTAGCCTACTATTGGCCTCAGTACACGCCAATAACACGTAAAGCTGATCACGATGTTATGCTTTTCACTTTCTCCAAAGCCACCGGACATGCCGTTTCTCGCATTGGGTAAAACTTTTCTGCCATGAATCAAATTGGACCTACTTTAATTAAGTCTAAGTCGAGATTTTCTTCGTTTACAAGACTCAAACTCGAACTGGAAACCGTATTTCTGTAGTTGGGCTATCGTTAAGGATAAAGCAATCGCCTCCAAGATGGTGACATTCATAGAGGTGAGCAGCATCGGTGTATCCAAAGAATCCCAGCTTCGTGCCGCCACTATTCTCGGAGTCGTCGCCGACGACTGCCAGAACCCCGAGCTTGAAGAAGTAAACTTCTTCGAACACGGGCGGCGCCTCATGTCCGACCGATGGGAAAGGCTCCGGGAAGTGGTGATGAAAAACAACGGAGCTAAAGTCATGTGATCCGACTATTAATGGGTTAACATCCCAATGCTTATATTGAAGCTAAAGTCAAAGTTAAGTGCTACAAGCGAAATGTTTTAAAGTTCAATGATGAAATCAATACAGGTCCTAAATATTAGTTTTATTCAGAGTAATTTGCCCTAATAACAATTTTTTTAAAAATAAAAACATACAATAACACTCTTTTCTCGTGCTTGATATGGGCGGCGGATATATACACACAGCTGGCTTCAAATTGAAAGAGATATATACATCAAAGTCATAGGTGGTAATTTTTTTTTACTTAAATATAGACTGTAGACACGTTTTAATTAAACGAGTGGATGTAATTTCTAGATTCTCTGTCCCATTTAGAACATTGGTTCCTACTCCCTATGGAATTATTATTAATTAAAAGGCACGTATTTCATATGAATTCTCATATTTTGGACCACCACCTTAACTATAAAAAGGAGTATTGGGTAACACCATGGATTCATATCTACTCTACTCTACAAGAACTGAACTAGTCATAAGAAATGGAGTGTAGGAAGTTTGCTTTGCTTTCGCTTGCAGTGGCAATGGTGCTATCGGCTGCAATGGCTCCGACGGTGACGGCCACTCGTAACAGGGTTACGCCCTTCTCCTCCATCGCCGGCGCCAACATCTGGAACCCTTTCGACGATATTTTCTCGGTGAAGAAATCAGCTGAAAAGTGTGTGCCCTCAGGGAAGACTGCTCTCCCACTATTGAATGCTGCAGTGGCCTATGTATTAATCTTCTGATTTATCCTCCTAGGTTTATCTGCGTCGACAGGGCCATGAAATGATGTTGAGTGACCGGACCAACCGAGCCAGCTAAATAGATGGTTTATTCGTGTACTTGTTGGCTTTTTATTACTTCCTTTTGTTGCAAAATAATGCACCCTCTTACGTGGGAGAGGGGTTATGTATTGTAGTAATATGGTGTTACTATTCTAAATAAAATGTCTATTTAGCTGCGTTGGAAAAATCTACAAATTTGTTTCTAGGGTGAATTACGAGTTTAATACATAAACTATCAATTTTGGTCTGTTATAGTGTCTAAACTTTCATTTTAAAAAAAATCTAATATTAAATTTTGAACGGATGCTAAAATGAAATAAAAAGTAAATTTTAGGTATGATTTTGAAAAAATAAATGTTTAGGTACAAAAATAGACTAAAACTAATAATTTAGGTATAAATGCGCTATATTTTTAATGGTGGATACTAAAATGAAACAAAAACTAAATATTAAATATGATTTTAAAATTTTTAAAAGTTTAAATACTAAAATAGATCAAAATTAATAGTTTAGAAGCTAAACACGTAGTTTACCCTTGTTTCTATTTCCACAAATAATCTGTTTGAGCTTTTGACGTGAATTCGTCTCGATTTTTACAATAAAATAAACATGCTTGGGAATACTAAGCATTATTATTTATTTCATGTTCAAGATATTGGAACTGTTCAACAGGGCACTTTTAACTATCTGTTAATCTGTATCAGATTACTGGGGGTTTAATACCTACTTTTGCCACTATTAAAGAAAACTCTCACTTTAGCCACTATTTATCAAAGTGATAACAAAATTAAAATTGAATTTGAGTTGAATATTTGAAGAATTAGATCGGATTAGATTCCGACTTAGGATGAAAAATATTCGATATGTGTAGACATTATATTTGTCCGAGTCTCAAAATTTTTATTTTATTTTTATTTTTAATTTTATTTACTTTCGCCATTGCTAATTATTTATATTAGGCTTAACAGTCATCTTTGCTCCTGTAGTAGACTCAATTTATCATTTTCGTCCCTATCGTATTTTTGCATCAATTTAACTCTCAAAGTTGTTTAATTGTATCATTATATATCTTACCCCTAACTTAAACCCTTAATTATAAACCCTAAGTTAAGATTTAGAGTTTATAGTTTAGAGGTTATGGCTTGGGGTTTAGGGTTTTAAGTTAGGGGTAGAGTGTAGAATGATGCAACTGAACAACTTCAAAGGGTTAAATTGATGCGAAAATACGATATAGACGAATGTGATGAATTAGATACGCTAGAGGGAAAAAGTTGCCCTTTTGTCTTTATATTTAATGGTGTTTTTATTTTTCGTTTTCTTAGTTCATTATGTATATAATAATTAAATATTTGTATTAGGTGTTAATAGTATATATTATTTGTTTGGAAAGTTAACTATTATAAATATATATATATATATATTAAATATGATTATATTGAAATATGTAAATAATATAAAATTAAGAGTGAACTTCCACAACAAAATTTCAAGGGGAGGGAATACTCCAAAGTAATTTATATGGTAAACTATATCATTGACCACCTAGTTATTTAGTTCTTTTATTTTTACCATCAATCTTTCAATTTTATCAATCAGACCACTTAACTATTTAATTGTATTCAATCAAGCCTTATCAAGAAGGCCTTCATAGCTCCAGATACATCTCCATATCAGTGAAGAGTTTTAGTCGAGGGGAGATTTGAGGAATGTTATTCTTCAAAAGTACTTAGAACGAAGCAACCTACGCTAGCCCGGAGGGCAATGTTGAATTTGATTAAGTCTCTAAAGCCCATTCCTCCTCCTTCTTTCGGTTTAAAGAGCTCGTTCCAAGTGCATGAGTAAAATTTAGGATATTTAGAGCGCAATGCTCTTAACCTTGTGGTCATGAGATCGAGTCCCACTGAGGGCAATTCATAACGAAAGTCTTTCACGGAAGCTGTCCTCAACGAGGGCAGCCTACTATCCTACCTCCCATTACCTCATTACATATGGGAATAGGGTCAGCTAATTATTTTAATTTAGGATATTTTAGGTAAAAATTGTATATATTTTATTTATGTTCTCGTTTTATTTAATCATTATTGTAATTATATCGGGTAAAACACTCCCAAGCAGTGTTACTACGAAGTGTTGGTAGTTGGACATTGGGTTAATCTAATCTTCGCTCATTGTACTTGTGCTTACAGGCGACGGCACCAGCCCTTATGGCTGGTTGCTGGCCGCCAATCCCTTTCTTTCTTTTAATTTTTAGTTTTTTTTAAGTATGTCTTTATGCAAGAGGATCCATGTTTTGTCTCTTAAGGAAATGTTTCAAGTCTATGGTGTTGTTTTGGATGTGTTCATTGCGTTTAAGAGTTTGAAAAGAAAAGCCGTGGGATCTTCTTTTGCATTCGTATGGCTCAGAAATTGATTTGGAGCAACTTGGCGGATAGGAGAGCTGATGGTAGGGTGTTGGACGTTTTAAAGACCAGTGTTTTCCATGTCAAAAATACTGTAAGGCTAAGCAAGATGGTTGATGTGGATAGTAGTCTTAAAAAGGTTTGGAAGCTAGCTTTAAAGGGTGATAGGTAGCTTAAAGAGGTTGAGGGTGGTGTGTTGGCAGATGGTGGGATGCCAGTTCAGAAGTCTGTTTGGCCAGCAGGTGGGAACCATTGTGGTTCGTTCGTAGTTGTCCATGTATTGGTTGCTGTTGACAGCGATGCAAGCTATTCTTCCAACTCTTTTGTGGATAGCAGGAGTTTTCTAACCTCAAAGGGGGAGCTTTCATGGGAGGTATGTAGTTCGGTCGGCTTAGTAAAGAATAGGTTTTCGTTTTTATTTTTCTTTCATCTTTCAGAGCTGAAGGTCCGATTGTGTTGGGGTAGGTTATTCCCCATTGAAGTTCATTCCGAAGTGCAGGAAGGGCCTAGTGATTCTGTCGTTGGAATCATGGTTGGTGGTGGAGCGTGGTGTGTGGTTGCCGATAAAGGATCATACTCTCCTTTCTTCGAGGTTGATGGTGTTGCTAGAGGTGGCCTCGAGGTGGGAATGTCGTGCAGGAACAAGGTGAGGTGGTGTGTCAGAGGCGTGATACTGTTAATGGCTTTATGGAAGGTGGGTGGGTGCATGCTGTTGTTTTAGAGGTAGTGGTGTTTCTGTAGCAGGGCACACGATGTTCCTTCCTCCTTTTTTATTGGGCCATGTGAGCAGTCTGTGTTAGGCGAAAGTGTTTTATTAGGGATCTGGTTATAGTTTGTAAGTCCCATTCCATTTCCAACAGCTCAAGGCTCTTTGATGTGCCTTTTGTCGAGGGTTCTTCTCTACAAGTGTTGGATGAGGTTCCTTTGGCTGCTTATGGTGAAATCAGTTCTGGGAAGTAAACTTCTTCGAACACGGGCGGCGCCTCATGTCCGACAGATAGGAAAGGCTCCGGGAAGTGGTGATAAAAAGCAACGGAGCTAAAGTCATGTGATCCGACTATTAATGGGTTAACATCCCAATGCTTATATTGAAGCTAAAGTCAAAGTTAAGTGCTACAAGCGAAATGTTTTAAAGTTCAATGATGAAATCAATACATGTCCTAAATATTAGTTTTATTCAGAGTAATTTGCCCTAATAACAATTTTTTTAAAAAATAAAAACATACAATAACACTCTTTTCTCGTGCTTGATATGGGCGGCGGATATATACACACAGCTGGCTTCAAATTGAAAGAGATATATACATCAAAGTCATAGGTGGTAATTTTTTTTTACTTAAATATAGACTGTAGACATGTTTTAATTAAACGAGTGGATGTAATTTCTAGATTCTCTGTCCCATTTAGTACATTGGTTCCTACTCCCTATGGAATTATTATTAATTAAAAGGCACGTGTTTCATATGAATTCTCATATTTTGGATCACCACCTTGACTATAAAAAGGAGTATTGGGTAACACCAGGGATTCATATCTACTCTACGCTACAAGAACTGAACTAGTCATAAGAAATGGAGTGCAGGAAGTTTGCTTTGCTTTCGCTTGCAGTGGCGATGGTGCTATTGACTGCAATGGCTCCGACGGTGACGGCCGCTCGTAACAGTGTTACGCCCTTCTCTACCATCGCCGGAGCCAACATCCGGAACCCTTTCGCCGATATTTTCTCCGTGAAGAAATCAGCTGAAAAGTGTGTGCCCTCGGGGGAGGACTGCTCTCCCACTATTGAATGCTGCAGTGG